TTTTTTTTTTTTTTAATATTTTTCTTACATTCAAATTCAGTTACACTGAAGTAAGTACGATTTCGCTTATCAGCCTTATTCGGATACTAATCCTCATTGAATTTATCAGGCATTTTGTACGACCTGTTGACTTATGCAACCATCGTCCGGTCGTTTGCGTACACTATCGTAGAAATGAAATATACACGATTCCCTTCTCGAAATGCCTCGAATCGAAGATAGAAAAGGAAAGAAATTTTTCACGTTAAACAAAATATCAACGCTTATTTTCACGAACGACTTTAAAAGTCTTTCTTCAATAAATCGAACTTGGATGGGTGAGATGTCGTGTGAGAGAAAAGCAACGAATATGATGAAAAAGACACGTTTAATTTGTTCCTTGATCCTTCAGAAGGATTCTAGCAAGAATCGGAGAACTCGTAGGATCGACAGACAATGATTCATAAGTTCGTTGAAGTCATTCAAGAAATTTACTAACACGTTACGAGTATATAAATATTTCGATTCACATAAACTTCCCCGTTTTCTGTCATCAGATTGTTCCACAAAAAATTGAAACAACTTTCGGTTCAAGGTTAAACGATTTCTATTTAAAGGCAGGTGATAATAAGTCCAGTATACCCCACTGGAGGTTTCACAGTTTCGTTCACAGTTTCTTCGTTAGACACGGCCACTGAATATCAAACGTCGTGAAACAATCTGACGTTTGAAACGATCTGACCACCCAATGTAATAACAATAAATAGAATCGTCTAACGTGCCTCAGTTTGCCTCGATACAAGTGAAACGTTTCGAGAGGTTTACTCGACGAACCAAGTGATTGCCTCAAGCGTCCAATTATTCTAAAAAAAAAAAAAAAAAAAAAGAAACGAGAAAATGAACGTTTGACGCGCACGACGCTCGTGAGTAAGGAGATCTAAACGTATAACGCGCGGCGATGATCGATAAATGAATGATACGTGCGGCTGCACGTCGACGGCGAAAAATTGTCCAGGAACCATTGTTTTTAAGCGTGAATACCAATACAGGTGGAAACGAAGTAAAATGCGTGGGAAGAAGAAAGTGCAATTTCTTCACTCGCGTTGGGGAAAGAAAGAGCTTGCTCAGTTGACGCGGGATTTTTGTACAAAAATGCTTGTCGCGAAACGATCTCTACGAGCAAAGTTTATACAAGCGTATATTGCGAAGCATGGACGATCGTTCAGAGATTGATACACACACACACGACACGCGCGCGCGCGCGCGCACACACACACACCACACATACACACACACCGACGTTGTTAAAAATTGTGCAGAGAAATGATAGTAAGGAAGGAAGGAAGGAAGGAAAGGTGTAGAAAGGAAAACGAAGTAAAAGTATGTGTCTCCAGGAGACCGGAGCATTTAAAATATTTTTGCATCTCGTGCGTGATTTTACATCGCTAGACTTCACGAGTAATCGTTTATTATTATATTATTATACTTCCCTACATAACTACCGTTCGCCTTTGATATTTCTTTTCTAAATCATCCTCTTCCATTTCTTCTCGTACTCGTATAATTTCATGAAAATAACATTCGTACAAAAATTGACTACAGCCGATTGCTTTTACATGATGTGTACCGGTTCGATCGATTTCGAAGTGTCTTTTTTTTTTTTCATTTTCAAAATTATTCCCGCGTGAAAAAAACGGTGAAAATCAAAGTGCATATATCCATCTATCCCTCTACCACCCTTGCCCACCATTAATCTTCTTTCGTTTCCGCGTTCTTCTCGTTAAGATATGACGTGTATACGTATTGACCTGACCGATAGATTCC